TTATTAGATTGGACAAGCCTTTCGGACTGGTGCAAATGTCTGCTTGTCAGTTCCAGAATTGCTAAAACAGCAGGTGACAGAAATATGAAACTTTTGACATTGGTACTTGATGTCTTCAAGAACTTGGTTTCCGTTTTCTTTTAAAATGGGGACATTTTAGGATTCCGCAAGAAAAGTTTTAACTCTTTAAAATCACATGTCATTAGTCTACCTACCAATCTAAAATATTGTTCTTGATTTCTCTCGTCAGGCATCGGCAAAGGGCAGAACTACATTTGAATGCTATACTGATATCAACAATTCTTCATCTCAGACAAATCAATTACTACTACTATTATTACTACTATTAATCAATATCTTGTGGAATATGTTGGAATAAAATCAAAAACAGTGTGGAATAATGAAAATTCTTCATCCCAAAATCTCAGACACATCAATTACTATTACTGTTGCTACTACTAATAATAATAATTGATTTGTCTGGGGTGTGACCATAAACTACATCTGGCAGTAAGGCCTCTGATTGGGAGGTTTTGAGGAGCATTGAACCACTTCTTAATTGTTGTTGTTCCAAGGTCCACCTTGATCTGTTAGGGTCCCAGCTATGGGTAAATAGTAAACCCCCAAAAGGGGTCAAAATGCTATGAAAGTATAAAAATACATTTTTGTAGTAAGAATACCAGTAATGAATTTTCATAGGAAAACAAATTACCAGCAATATTTTATCGAAAAAGGAAGAGAAAAATTGCAATAAATACATAAATACATTTTTTAAACAAAAATGTTACAAAAGGTTTAAATTAAATTTCAGCATTAAATGACCCATAAGGAGTTGATATGCCGTTAAACAAACAAAACCAAACCAAAAACTACTGATTGATTAATTTGTTTTCTATGGCTTGTCAACACTTTGCAGGTTATCTAAAGCCAGAAAATATTTTTAAATTGTAAGAATTTGGAGTGGGGGGTGATAATAATTGTTTTAGAACTTCAAGTCTTATTAATTAACCCATAGCTGGAGGGAGAAGATGTGGATTCATATCTTTCCCAAGGGTAGTTTTGCATAAGTGAACATACAAACTCAACTAGAATTAATACTTGGCTCTCTGATTAACAATTTTGAGCTAT